TGTCTGAGTGAAGAAAAGCCTATAGCTTCAGTGGGCTGGGAGCAGAAGGCAGAGCTGAAGCCCAGTGCTGAGGCACTTTCACTCAGCCCCCAGAGCCTGGCACTTTGAAGTTGGACTTAAAGCCTCCAAATTGTAAGAATAAACTCCTGTTTGTTATAGCCATCCCATTGGCGGTATATTCCTGTCAGAGCAGCACTAGGTAACCAGAACATGCACCTTAGTCTTCAAGGAGACATCTTTGCTCTTAATCACCTGAAAGACGTCCTTTGCAGCAGATTTGCCCAATACAATACATCAGTTGATGTCTTGGCTGCTACTTCCATTGGTGTTGATTGTGGAGCCAAGTAACATGAAATCCGTGACAACTTCAATCTTTTCTCCACCCCTGTGAAGCTGTTTATTGGACCATTTGTGAGTATTTTTATTTGTTTTATATTGAGGTGTAATCCATACTGCAGATTGTAGTAAATGCTTCAAGTCATCCTCACTTGCAGTAAGCAAAGTTGTGTCATGTCCACATCACAGGTTGTTAATGAATCTTCCTCCAATCTAGATGCTGCATTCTTCTTCATATAATCCAGTTTCTTGGATTATTTGCTCAGAATACAAATTGACTAAGTATGTTGAAAGGATACAACCTTGATGCACTCCCTTCTTGATTTTGAACCATGCAGTATCCCCTTGTTCTTTCGAACAACAGCCTCCTGATCTACCTACATGTTCATCATGAGTACGATCAAGTGTTCTGGAATTCACATTCTTCTCAATGTTACCCATAATTTTTTATGATCCACACAATTGAATGTTTTTGCATGGTAAAAAAAACATAAATAAACATCTTTCTGGTATTCTTAGCTTTCAGCTAAGATCCATCTGACATCAGCAATGATATCCCACATTCCATGTCCTCTTCTGAATTCAGCTTGCGTTTCTGGAAGCTCTCTGTCAATATATTGCTGCAACAGTTTTTGAAAGATTTTCTGTAACATTTTACTTGCACATAATATTAATGATATTGTTCGATAATTTCCATATTCTATGGGATCACCTTCCTTTGGAATGGGTACAGATATGAATCTCTTCCAATCAGTTGGTCAAGTAGCTGTCTTCCAAATCTCTTGGCATAACTGAGTGAGTGCCTCCAGTGCATCATCTGTGTGTTTAAACATCTCTATGGGAGTTTCGTCAATTCTTGGAGCCTTGTTCTTCGCCAATTCCTTCAGGGCAGTTTCAACATCTTCCTTCAGTACCATTGGTTCTTGATTGTATGCCACCTCCTGAAATGGATGAAGATCAACCAGTTGTTTTTGGTACACTGACTCTGTGTATTCCTTCCATCTTCTTTTGATGCTTCCTACATCATTCAATATTTTGCCCATAAAATCTTTCAATCTTGCAACTTGAGGCTTATTTTTTTCCTCAGTTCTTTCAGCTTGAGAAATGCTGAGTGTGTTTTTCCCTTTTGGTTTTGTCTGCTTGAGCTGCTCTTTGAAATCTTCCTTTCAGCTCTTTTATCTTGTCATTTCTTCCAATTGCTTTAGCTACTCTCTACTCAAGGGCAAGTTTCAGAGTCTCTTCAGACATCCATTTTGGTCTTTTCTTCCTTTCTTGTCTTTTAAATGACCTCTTGCTTTCTTCATGGATTATGTTCTTGATGTCATCCCACAATTCCTCTGAGTTTTGGTCACTGGTGTTCAATGCATCAAATCTATTCTTTTAAAAACTAACCAAAAACCAAACTCATTGCTGTTGAGTTGGATCCAACTCATAGTGATCCCTCCTTAGGCTTCCAAGGCAGGATAACTACAGAAATAGAATTATCTCTAAATTCAGGAGGGATATTTTCAAGGTCATATTTTGGCTCTTGTGGACTAGTTTCAATTGTCTTCAACTTCAACTTGAATGTGCATATGAGCAGTTGATGATCTGTTCCACAATCAGCTCCTGGCCTTGTTTTGGCCAAAGATATTGAACTTCTCCATCACCTCTTGCCACAGATGTAGTCAATCTGATTCCTGTGTATTCCACCTGGTGAAGTCCATATGTATAATTGTAGCTTATGTTGTTGAAGAAACATATTTTCAATGAATAAGTCTTTGGTCTGGAAAAATTCTATCATGTGATCTACAGTGTTATTTTTATCACCAAGGCCATATTTTCCAACTATTGATAATGATTCTTTGTTTCCAACTTTTGAATTCCAGTAGTCAGTGATAGTCAACACATCTTGATTGCATGTTCAATCAATTTCAGACTACAGAAATTGGTACAAATCTTCAGTATCCTCATCTTTGGCTTTTGTGGTTGCTGTGTAAATTTGGATAATAGTAGTGTTAACTGGTCTTCCTTGTAGGTGTATGGATATTATCCCATCACTGACAGATCTTGAAACAGTCTTTGTGACGATCAATGCCACACCATTCCTCTTCAAATTATCATTCCCGGCATAGTAGAGCATATGGTTGTCTGATTCAAAATGGCCAAAACTGGTCCATTTGAGCTCACTAATACCCAGAATATCAATCTTTATGCATTCTATTTCATTTTTGACAACTTCCAATTTTCCTAGATTCATACTTCTTACATTCCATGTTCAAATTATTAATGGAGGTTTGGATCTGTTTCTACTCATTTTGAGTTGTACTCCATCAGCCAATGGAGTTCCTGAAAGCTTTTCTCTATCCATATTGTTAAGTCATCTCTATTTTGAGGAGTCAGCTCTCCCCCACTCAAATTTTGTGTGTCTTCTGACCTGATGGGCTCATTTTCCGGCACTATACAGAACAATATTTCAGGGCTATTCATAAGGTTTTCCAGTAATATATCAGACCATGTTTCATTGCTATTCATAAGGTTTTCACTGGCCAATTTTTTAAGAAGTGGATGGCCTCTTCCTTCTTCCAAGTCTGTCTAAGCCCGGAAGCTCCTCTGAAACCTCTTCACTATGGGTAATCCTGCTGGCATTTTGCAACACGGTGGCATAGCCTCCAGCCTCACAGCAACAGGTAAGTCACCACGGGATGACAAACTGACAAACAAGGTAGTCACCCTTAGTTTTCCTAACCCCTCTGCACCTGCCCACCTCAGGCCCTGGCCTTAACATATAGCCACCCCCAAGCAAAAAGCAGCCTCCAAGCCCCTTGCCCATCTACCTCAGGTCCTGGTCTTAATATAGAGCCATACCCAAGTGAAAAGCAGCCTCTAAGCCCCTGGTCTACCTATCTCAGACCCTGGCATTAATATATAGCCACCTCCAAACAAAAAGCAGCCTTCAAGCCTCTTGCCTGCCTACCTCAGGTCCCGGTCTTAATAAAGAGCCACATCCAAGAGAAAAGCAGCCTATAAACCCTGGGCCTGCCTACCTCAGGCTCCTGCCTTAATATAGAGCTACACACAAGTGAAAAGCAGCCTCCAGGCCCTGGGCCTCGCTACCTCAGGCAGGACCTGGACAACTAGAATGTGGGCACTAAATATAGTATTAGGGCTTCTGGTAGTGAAAAACATGGAATGTATGAGTAGAAAGGAGATTGGGGCCAGGCCACTGAAGACCTTGGATGCCAATCCAAAAGGTTGTATTTTTATCCTTTTCCAGAGGAAAGTCATTGAAGCTTGGCTAGATCAGAATTATATTTTAGAAGGATTAATCTGTCAGGAATGAACACTGGTGGCCAATGATTAAGTGCTGAGCTGCCAACAGAAATGTCAGTGGTTCAAACTGGTAGGAGAGAAGACATGGTACTCTGCTCTCATAAAGATTATAGCCTAGGAAAACCTCTGAGGGCAGTTCTACTCAGTCCTATAGGACTGCTATGAGTCAGAAGTGACTCCATGGTACACAACAACAACAATCTGTCAGGAGAATTAAGAATATATTTAACCTGTTACTAGGTCTTGGAGCTCTGGTAGCGTAGTGCTGAAGGCACTTGATTGCTAACCAGAAGGCTGGCGGTTCAAACCCACCAGCCACTCCTTGGAAGGAAGGTTGGGCAATCTACTTCTGTAGTGATGCTGCCTCGGAAACCCAAGGAGGGGTCGCTTTGAGTTGGGTCACACTCGATGGCAAATAACAACAACACTAGGTCTTGCAAGGAAGTCAACTATTGACTAATGTTACTTCTCTTTGAAAAGCAATGAGAGCCTGAATGGTCTAGTCATAAGAATAAGATAAAACAGGAAGAGAGATATGAAATAAAAATTAATAAATCTTTCCCATTCACATTATAATATCACAAATGATATGCTCTTAAGGCCTCCATCTTACTCTACCACCAAAAACTTATATTCTGATTGTTATGTTACTGAGAAATGTCTTTTCCTTATTTAAACTAATTCATTTGTTGTTGTTGTTGTTATGTGCCGTCGAGTCAAACCCGACTCATAGCGAACCCTCCTTGGGTTTCCGAGGCAGTATCACTACGGAAGTAGGATTGTCCAACCTTCCTCACATGTAGTTGTACCTATACTGACAGAAGAAGCCATGGTGTCACACCAGTTAAGTGCTTGGCTGCTAACTAAAAGGTTGTTAGTTTGAACATATCCAGCAGCTTAGCATGAAAAAGATACAGGGATCTGTGCCCATAAAGACTACAACCTAGGAAACCCTATAGAACAGTTCTATTCAGTTACATGAGTTGGAATCAATTCAATAGCACCTAACAACAGCAACAGTGGAAGAAGAGTCAATATCAGAGAGTTGGCCTGAATGACATGCATGCTGAAAAGACTGAAGGTAAACACAATTGATGTTCTGAAATAAAGAAAATTAAGCAAAAAATTCAACATTAAAATTTTAGTGATTTCATGCTTTGTGGATGAAACAAATGAAAACTCTGAAGACCATCTTTGGTATTGGTAGCCTTAAAACTAAGGGTAAAATATCTGCTGTAGAGTATTTTTTTTTTTCTGAAATTCTGATAAAAAGCAGTTAGGTAACTTTTCAAATATGATATACACTAACAATCTGTATTACTTGGAACCAACTTGACTGAAGCATTACTTACATGTTCTGCTGTTAGTGCAGCACATGGGTGAAAATGATGAAAATGAACATCGTTACCTCTCACTGAGCATATATGCTTCTCTAAATCATTGTATCTCTCCCCATAGAGCACTGACAAATGAAACATAAAAATTTCTACATCAATTGACATGTAATGACTAGAATAATTTTTAAGTAAAATATAAAAATGCTCAGAGATATATCAAACATACCAAGTCTAACTTTATATGACTGCTTTATTTGTAAGTAGTCTTTGCGAAAGTTGGCACGAGAGTAATTTTTTCTTTTAGAAGTAATATTTTTTTCCATTACATTGTCCATTTGCTTCCAGTATCGTTTTACTGATTGTAGCCACCTTTAAACATAAATTTACATATTATTTATGCAGACATAGAATTATTTCACATGAAATTAAATATTGTAAATAAAGAATACTTCATATGCACTAAAAATTATAATAGGCTTTGGAATCAGAGTTACTGATTCCCAGGTTCTTTCTCTATGAGCTGTGGCTCTTTCATTCAAGTCACATACACTGCTCTGTATCTCATATTCATTAGG